ATTATTGATATGATTTAGCAACGAAACCTATCTTTCCGGTTGATCTTTTTGGATGGAATGACTGAGAAAATAGACGTCTCGCCTCACAATGCTGCCATCTACGATCAAATCCTGTTTTGACTGACGTGATGACATAAAATATTCTCACTGATAAACAGATTGCAGGCTAAAATATGCTTGTTGAGGGGCTAACCGTGGGAGCTTTTTTGGTTTTATACTCTATGTGAGGTAAATACTGATCAGTTTTCCTTCAAAAATTCATCCCGAAGGCGAGTCTATCCTAAATAATAGATAGATCATCTCTTGACTTCCAGGTACGGAAAAATTATCACACTGATCAAAATTCCGGATATTCCAATAAAATCCATTTTTATCGGAGCACCTAATGGAAATTATCATCAAATAAATCGTAATTTTTACAGCAATAATTTCCATAAAGTCACTGAATTATTTTAACTAAATAATTTGAACTAAAAAAATTACGCAATAATATTTGATGGTGAAAATGGATGATGGGATGGATGATGCACCCAAAGGACTCGTACCATAATTTGATACAGAATTTTTTACAAAGCATGCCTTTTAGCCTTGAATTCAATGTCGATCGGCCGTTCAATGCCGATGATAAAATAAAAGTAAATAGCTTTTTATCCTCAACTTTTTTATTTAAAAGAAGCCTTCAAATTTAGAGCATATTAATAACGCTTTGTTTAGTTGATTAGTGGTCGTTAAGAGTCAAGTAAAAATAAGCTTTCTCCCAGAAAAATATTTACTTCAATTCCCATTTAATACTCAAAATACATTTTTAAAAAAGTATTTCTTGTTACACTTACCGTCACTAAAACCTACAAAAGGTCACTTCTTTTGAATTTCTGACCGAAACTAGCAGTAGGATTTACATCTATGATAAATTTTTCCTACCATCTAATCCAACAAACATAATTCAGTTTCCGCCATCGAATTCATTCCATGCCAGCTACGAGATATATTTTAAACCCTTCATGGTTACTGTTTGGCAGAAACTCGCAAGGATGGCTTAAGAATATCTTAAAATTAAATATCATTCAATTCTTAATTTAAGATTCATCGCTCATTATGGCTGTAAATTCACGAATCTTCCTAATGAATATCCCCTTTGAACACGATTTATTACGTGAATCGAATTAAATTTGATGATATTGGGCTCGAAGTTGGTTTGCATTCAAAGTTTTACGAGGCTTTTACTATTTGAAAGGAATTAATGTTGATTGTATTGCTGATTAAGTAATCATGGTGTCTTAAAAGTAGATATTGAGAGTCGCTGCTTTAAGAATGAAATGTAAGACTTTTGAATCTTCTTAAAGCATGAAATATTCACTTAAACATTATTAATTTTGTAAACATTTTATTAGTAAATAGTTGAATTTGAAATGCAATTTATTTAGTGTATTGCTGTTTGTATTAATTAAATATTTTACAATCGATACAAATAAATTACAAACTGTGAAAAATTCCGGGTAAAATTACTATTTAAAGTACTTCACCTTGAGTGCAGCATCGTAAAATCGATTTTACCGTAAAATCTATTTTTAGTGTGAAATTTAATATCGTGATATTTGCAAGAAAATTTATTTAATTACATTAATTCAGTGATTTTACAGTATATAAATTGCTGCATATCATAATTTTTGTTTTGGAAAAATTTACAGTAAAAATGTATTTTACGGTAAAAAGTACTGGCAGCCAAAGTGCAGGTACTTCTTACAGTTATTTGATCCGAATTTCTTCACATTGTAGTATTACGGATGCATATAACAACAGGTGAATAAATATCCAGTTTGAGTTACATCCTTTACGTACAGTACGCAAAATAAAATATGGACCACCATAAATGATCTGATGTAGTGATCTGATCCTCACGTTCTAGAACTCAATCTTCATAATTCAAGAAGCTTACATGCTAATAAATTCGTGCAGGCTATATTTTAAGTTACAGAATGAGACACAAAAACGTATTTTCTAAGAATAAACATATTCTTAGAAAATATGTTTATTCTTAGAAAATACGTTTTTGGTTTTTCGATGGATAGATTTTTTTCGATGGATAGATTTATATTGACAATAATAGATAGATATACCTGTAGTAGCATATATTTTAGAACTGCAATTGCAGAAATTTAACAACACATTAAAAAAAAAACTACTTTAAGGGGTTTTGTTAACTAGAAATTGTAAATTGCAATTTATNCTATAAAACTATAAATGGGAAAATCCAATAGTCTTCCTCAAGACACATCTATTGGAATAATTAAATGCGATATTTCTGAATAAAGAATAATTATCCTAAGATAAAAATTATTCTTTATGTGTGTCGATATCGCAAAAAAATATTTGTTGAAAAAGAGCATTAAAATATAAGAAAGAAGCATTTTGACACTGTTTTAAAACAAAAAGATAAAATATAACTTGTGAAATGATTACTATAATAAAGTGTAACTGTTTTCCTTGTTATGAAAGCTACAAATACAAAGTGTGCTTATTTGAGGATAAATTGGTTTGCAGTGACTTAAAAAACTAAACTTGAACTGGTAAATTATTTTTTATATCAACCGAAAGTCCTTTTTTTTTTAATTCCATTTTTAATGGAACGCGGCTTTTAAATAATGACAAACTTAAACTTGTAAAATGTTTAATGTTATAAGGCTTTACAATAACCAATTCATGTCTTTTAAAATGCTTCTTGTGTTTACAATAATATATTTTAATAAGATATTTTAATAACATGTTTATACCATCTTCAAACTTAGCCTTCTTTTATGGGAAAAAAAGAAACAATCTCGATTCTACGCAACCAAATATTTGGTTCGTACCAACACAGGGGAAAGAAAATCAGAATCAGCGTAAGAAAAATAAAAAATAAAAAAGTCAAATCCCATCCAATCTTCTATTTAATCAGTAATATATTCCTCCGCGACAGAAGAAAACAGCTTGTTATTCCGATGAGAAAGTGGTAAAATTGGAATCTTCTAGTAATTTCATAATGACCTTGGAACTTCAGAATCCTAAAATAGTTTCTTGTAGTTAGAATCGTGAGTAGGAAATTGGCTCTAATCAAAGTGATTGGTCATTCGTTCTGATAGTTTGTGGATCTTGCCAATAAAAACAACACGCGAAGCCTTCCTGTTATTGGATTAACCCGGGCTAAAACATATGGAAAAGTAAAAAACACCACCAATGAATACCAAAGTTTTTCCCTCTCCCTTTGCGGAATTTCAATCTTCATGGGAAAAAATATTCAATACTATTTACGTAAACAGAACTGCGTTAAGAGCGCCTACAACAAAACGAGCTGATTGTTTGATATTCGAGGGAAACTGTTGGTGTTTATGAAAATTTAACACATGCGAAATTTGTAATTTATTACTGATATTAGTGACGTTAATGAGAGAATCTCGAACTCAGTGGTTTGTGGCGGTCATGGTCATTACAATCTTGGCAGGGAGAATATTCTATACCAGTGGTTACCAACTGGCGGCCCGCGGGCAACATCCGGCCCGCGAACTAAAATATATTAGTTGTCATTTATTGCTGACAATTTTCGTGAAAAATCTATATGGGTTTAAAATACTTTTCTTTTATTAAAGAAAAACCCTAATTTCTTCGTTTTTTTTTTAAATTTAACATACCAACGGTGCAAAAAAATTTATTTCTCAAGTAAAAATCTACTTCTTATTTTAATTTGCAATTCAATACTTTTGCTTTGTACAACTTGATAAAAATCTGACAGTAATATTTAATGTTCCTTCAAACACAAAAGATGGCTGTATAAAATTTTCATAAAGTTGCGGCCCGCCATTTGACTGGTGTTTTCAATTGCAGCCCCGGCCTCATGCAAGTTGATAACCCCGATTCTACACTATGTAAATGAACAGAAGCCCCAAATTCCGGCTTGTTGGAAAAGTATTTATGAAAACAAAACCTAAAAAATTATATATATTACATGTTTTGATGTGATTGCATGGATCCGACGCCCTTGATAATGCTATACACCAAACTATAAAGAAATAAAAAAAATCAACCAGGAGTGACTTTTCCATTTTTAGGCACAGCCAAGTTAGCTTTCAGCTACAATCACAATAAACAATAAATATCTGCAATAAAATTCAGCCAAAACGTAAATGTTTGTCCCGATCTTGTTCAACATCAAGAAGAAAAAAAGAAATTTCATAAGCCTGGTTACACGGACAAGGATTTTCTCTCGCAGAAGGAAGCAAAACTAGTTACGCAATAGAGCTGGTTAAACATCTTCTCAAGATACGAAGATTAAAGCAAATGTTTGCATTGAAAACGAAACAGTTAAGAGGCTCCTCCCACCACGCGTTGTTTATTATTATTCAATGTTATTTCAATATACAGATGTTTTAATGAGAAATACTAATTTATAGTAACTCAGCGATCATACTGCCACTTCCGGGGAAAGTATTTTAGCTTTAAGTTTATGAAACAGTTATTTTTCCTTCAGCACAATAAAGATAAACATACTAGACCTTAATCTTAGAATATCTTCGATATTTCTGAGGTGAATTATTTGTTTTATATTTTGGCAAGGAGACGGGTAGCGTAGCCAGAAAAGTATTCATCCTTAGAAACATGAACCAGTTGAATCGCCATTTAAATAGAGATAACATCTAAGCTAATAGACCCTATGAAGGGTGTGTTGGATATCATCTTAATATTTTTAACATAATTTAACGCAAGATTTCTAGCACTTTTTATTTATATGAGTAAATAATATTGTGTGAGCTTTTTAAAATGACTTTTAGCACAGTTAAGTCACATTCATTTAATATCTATATTCAATCTATCTTTGATACTTTCTCAGATAAAAAAAGGAATTAAAGTTTAAAGTTAAATTCTCAAAAATATATTTATTTTTGTATAGTTTCATATTGTTTTTCTAATCAAGAAATGATCTTTTTTTCGACAATACTAATATCAGTTATGTTTTCCTTTTTTTAAAGATCGTCGTTTCCTGCTGGCCAATGCACAGGTGGAGCACTTTCCTATCATCTACTGTAACGATGGGTTTTGCGACCTGGTGGGGTTCTCAAGGGCTGAGCTTATGCAGAGGCCTGCCACCTGCGACTTCCTGCATGGACCCCTCACCAGCTCACAGGCCACGGCTCAGATTAGAGAATCCCTCACCACCTGCCTCGAGAAACAGCTCGAAATCATCTACTACCGGAAAGATGGTAAGTCTCTGTCCTCTACCCATTCCGTAGCTACCTACAGTGCACGTAAGTGAATTGCGCCGAATGGTCAATATAAATTTCAATAATTATACGTTGAACACTTGTGACATCTTACTTAACGGCCTACGTTACATTAAAAATTGCAAGAACTATGAAAAATAATAGACATTAGGGTTACCCTAATAGAAAGTCGACAAATGTTGTATTGTCCAATTCCACTTCCTCTGTCAGATATCGTCCAGTATAATAGCCACGAGGTCGCATGCCGAAGGTTGTAGACCACTCTGCCGCGAAAAGCGATGATAAAAGCGCAGTGAGGAAGATTTAACAACTTGACGATCGGTTAATTTCCATGAAAACGATTATAAAAGTGCCTATTTTTTTATCCCTGCATCCCTGATTAGTGCTGACATCTAGTTTAAAATAAACTAACTATCTACAATTTCCTTAAAAATATTTTGGTACTGCCATCTGGGGTGTAAAATGAGAAATAAAATGTTTTCCGGGCAAAAGAAATGAATTAGTTTTATTCTTATTGGCGCGTTGCTACTGAACACTTCAACCCGGAAATATCACAAGAGCGAGAAATAGAGGGCGAAACCTCACCCCGTCATTTTCACGGGAGCGATAAGGAAGGGGTTAAAGGCAATGCAGGAAAAGCCTCGCCGAAATGTTGCAGCCCTCTTTCGTCGCCTAACAGGTCACGACTGCCTGTGAGAACCTTTATATCGCTTACGTATATATGGCCACCCTGATTGTCGACGATGTGATTCTAAAGAACCCATGAATCGAAAACATCTCCATCGCGGTAGGTCACTCCACGGTCTTGACTCCGAGACTGCTAAATATTGGCGTGCGAGAGAGCTTCCGGGGAAATGACATCAGTCTTTCTTTTACTTCTTGTGATTCCTTGTGTTGTTTATTGTTCTTCTTCTTTGTATCGATTGTTTTCCCCACCACTAGAAATTAAAAAAAAGTGTTGTATTCTCGGAAGCAGTATAACGATAGTAGAGCCATTTTTGAAAATTAAAAAAGCAAGATGAGAGGAATACACCTAGTTGCTGTGTATGAACGATTAATTAATTAATGAGACAGCATTTAAAGTGAAAGTAAAGTCGTACTTAAGCGGATGCGTCCGGAACAGAATGCACGAGAAGGGATGATTTTTTAGCTACAGATGCTGATTTCACAGATACTTTACTCTGACTAACTTCTGCACAGATGTCAGAAATCAGAAATCTTCCAAAACCTTGTATCATTTCTTCAAGAGCTGTAGCGGATTCAATGAAAATTTTGTGTTTGCTTACTCTGTGCTTTCGTAAATCTATATTGATCCTTTCAGGAAATCTTAACACTATTGGTCTGTAACTATTTACTTCCGACAATGCTCGCAACGAACAGTTAGACGATAAATCTCCGTATTACGTATACCTTCAGCCACCAAAAAAAAACACTAAAAAAAGTGCAACTTATTTTGTTCTGGACGCATTCCTCTCGGCCCTAATTTATATCCACTCTCATTCGAAATGGTTAAACAATTGCATACAATCTATCTTATTTTATATTTTATAACCGTCGTTGAGCAGCCGACCCAATTTTATGGGTTTACGACTATTAATGCTCAACTTCATAGCCTTGTAATTTTGAACCCAATCGAGAAGACAGGGGAACTCCTGGATCGAATATTGGGAGAAATTTTGTCTTCGTTGAGGACTTTTTTGATGGAGTTAACCCGCATTTGCGTTACTTGGAGAGGAAGACCACGAGAACCTGCCATGGTTAGCCTGACGGCAAAGGGACTCTAACCCATGATCCGTCTACCACTGAAAATATTTCACGTCGCATGCAATCTATTGTACTTAACCTTAATTAAAAGCCCTAATGAGTGGACTTGATATAGTTTGTCTATAGAAGGAACTCCGATGGCCACAAAGTCTAAGGCCGTCTGCTACTTTGGAAGCAAGAAACAAACTATTTCAAAGAGGAGAGCTTCTCTCTACTCTGATTCCCTTTCTCACGCTAGTATGAACCAAAAACCAGTCAAATATTGACCTAACAAACCTCTTTGAAGTAATTAAGTCTCGTAACCATAGTTACCGCCACTGCTCAAGACGATTGGCGGGGAGAGTTCTTTTCATAGACAGACTATATTGCTACTGTATTTCTTACGTTATCACGTCTGTCTACTTTATCTTCATGCAAACTTTGTGCTAATATTACTTTTTATGAAGAAAAAAAACATTTTAATATAAAACTTTTAACAATATGCTCAATAACTTTTAACACTTAGAACTTTTCTTATTTAAAAAACAATTCCATATTTCTCATACTATAGTTAATTTTTAACAAATTTGAAGACAAATTAACATGCATACAAAATTATCATAAACTTTGAATTTTTTCTCTTCAGATTTCCTTAAATATGTTCCCTTTATTTCTTATAAACACCAAAATGTGACAAATTTAAATATTTTTCTAATCTAGTCAATGTCGTTAGCCACATTATTTTGGCTCATAACTATAAACTGACTAATTAAGCAACGCCCATTATAAATATATTATTTTCACTTTTTGTATTGTTTTGAAAAAGATATTTCAGTCAAATGTTAAAACATATTCACGATTTTTTTTTGGTACGTTAATGATTTATTTAGTTTTATTCTAATTTTAATATTTGTCAAAATATATTAAAATGACTTTATTAATACATTTCATGAAAAGTTGTAAGAATTAATTTTTATTTGCTTTCTTAAATTCTTATAAGATTCAATTCTTTAGTACGAAACACTTTGCGCCAACGTCCAATTTTATGCTCAACATTCAAAAATAAATTTAATATTTTTAAATGCGGTCGTTTTTTAATGGCCTCAACGATAAAAATGCTCAGTTATGATCCTAAAATACTTTAATATTAATTTTTAAGTCATGAAATTCGTATTTTTTATAAATATAACTAATTGTAAACTAAAAATTTTTTTTTCTGCCTCTGTCAACTTTAACCCTCAGGCTTTAATTAGCTGTCTACTCGGAAATCTGCTGATTTAAATTATCTTTACTTTGTAGTTTATCTTCGTATATTTTTTGCGGTTGTCCATGTTCCGTCAATTTTGTTGTTGTTAATAATATCCTCTTTGTCTTTTATTCTATAGTTTAAATTAAATACTTTTGCTTACACTGATCTAACATTTTTAAGAAAAAAATTATTCAAATTAGAATACCAAACGTTGGACATTGATATCGGAAACTTTTTCTTCTCTTTTCATTTTTCTATTACTGTGTAAAAATTTTCAATTCTTTTAAGAAAAAAAGCAAGTGCTAATTACTTAAAACAATATTTCAATATTTTACTACTTGCCACAACGAAGTGTTTTTAAAGAACGTTTCTTAAGAAATTTGGAATTGTACAAAACTGTAAGATTAATAAGAATACTTCCCGCAGACTTTTATAAAAATAGATACAAACCACAGACAGTATTCAATCAACTGAACCATTATGTTAGGACAATAACCATTCTCAATGAACTGGAAATAGTTAAAGGTTGTCTCTTGCTGATCACTCATTCATAACAAAGTATCAAAAAGGAATGCCATAAACCAGCAGAATGGCTTATAAATATTGATTTCTAGTATAAATATATGTGTCAAAGTATTCGACAGAAAACGAATCGTATTTAATAGAATCAATGATTCATTATGTAATTTTTTTTCAATTAGTATGCTAATACACGTTATA